TTATAAGAAACTGATATAAAGTGTTAATTAATAGATAGATGCAGTAAAATGCTTCAGCAAACAGTAAAATTTTGTTTTACTTTTAGTTTTATTTTCCAGAGAAGTTAGATTTTGAGAGCACCCATCACTTAATAAACCAAATCAAGAGAAAGAAGGCACTGAAAAAAAAAATGTAAACTTTGATTGACTCTCCGCTTTTGTGTAGAAAACATGATTGATGGGCCGGGCGCGGTGGCTCACGCCTGTAATCCCAGCACTTTGGGAGGCCGAGGCGGGTGGATCACGAAGTCAAGAGATCGAGACCATCCTGGTCAACATGGTGAAACCCCGTCTCTACTAAAAATACAAAAAATTAGCTGGGCATGGTGGTGCGTGCCTGTAATCCCAGCTGCTCAGGAGGCTGAGGCAGGAGAATTGCCTGAACCCAGGAGGCGGAGGTTGCGGTGAGCCGAGATCGTGCCATTGCACTCCAGCCTGGGTAACAAGAGCAAAACTCCGTCTCAAAAAAAAAAAAAAGAAAACATGATTGATTTTCTTCAGGTTATTTTTTCCATTTTTCCGAGTGTGTAGTCCATTACTCATCAAATTTGGTTTCAGAAAGAATCTGAAAATTCCTTTAATCTTTTAAAAGCTAAAGATTGACTCTTGTTTACAAGCATGAAGTAGTCTTGCAGGTTTAGGTGACATCAGCATGTGGGAGGAATGTTTGAAGAATCCAGCATTATCCAAGAAACATGGAGGATCCAAGAAATGTGGATTTCATTCTCAGTTCTAGACTCAAGTAGCTACAAAACTTGGAGATGCCACTGTACCTCAGGGGCCACAGTTATTTCGTATTCTATAATTCTATGCTCCAGGCCACACTGACCTTGGGGTAAATCTAGATCTCAATAATGGACATACACAGTAGTTCCCTGGCTGTAATTCTCACCCAGTTTTGTGGAATGTTAAGTCTTTGAATTATTTCTAGGAATACGGAGAGGCAATCCATATGTACTCCTGAACCTACTGGTTTTAATTCCCTTTTATTTACACGTTCGGTCTTCTTAATTATTTTTAGACCCTCTTTAGAGGTCTGTAGCTGAAGCCTCCAAAACAAAACTTAAATATCTTTCCCTTGACTTCAACGCTATAGTCCAGGGACTGGTTTGGACATTGGGTGACATCTCTGGAGAACTCAGGGCACCAAAGTGGGTGTAGCTCCCTCTTTGGGTTCCTCTCTGCCACTTGGTCCCAGAACAGTGCTGCCTTGAGCTCCCTATGCTCATAGAGAGAACACTAGCACTGCTCTTTAACAGCTTGTTGCCTACAGCCTCCACATTCGTAAGAGTGCCGCCTCAAGTCTGGAAGGTAAAGAGAAAAAAAAGGAAGGAAAGAGAAGGTATCTACTAAAATGTAGTTGTAAAGCAACACGAGCTAGACGCTTCTTCTTATGCACCTTCTTTTTTTGGTGACTCACTCTGCTTAGGCTACTAATATGCCTTAAGAGGTTAAGAAAGCTCCTACTCAAAGAAATGACTAGGTAACTGACCCAGAGATCATTCACTTTGAACTTTTCCATAAAACTCTAGGGTTTAGCGTTCCAGGACCAGGTACAACCTTCCTACATTGGATTTAAGGGGTCTAGGCCATGTACCAAACAAAATGATTCCCCGAAGTCACCCAACTCAAGATTTAGTTCTTCAGATTTTGTGTACATTCTGGTCTTTGCTAAAAGTGCTAAGAATCCTGGGCGTTATCTGGAAAGAATTCTCAACTGTTAGCCAGCTGTTGAAAAGACAATGCAGAAATGGGCTGCAGTTTGGAGCATCAGAAAGAAAAACAAATAGAGGGTAAGAGAGTGTCATTTTTTTGGCCCCTTTCAGCATGTAACTCTTTAATTTGTACTCTCTTTATCATTTCAGTGATATTAATTAGGGCTGCTAGAGGTCCAGTTACGTCCCTCCAAAGATATGTTGATGTCCTAACTTTCAGTATTTCAGAATGTGGCTCTATTTGGAAACAGGGTCATTGCAGATGTGAATGTGATGCCATACTAGAGTGGGGTGGGCCCTTAACCCAATATGAGTGGTATCCCCGTAAGAAGACAGCATGTGACAACACACAGACACAGGGAGAGTGCCAAGTGAAGACAGAGGATTGGAGGGCTGCTTCTATGAGTCAAGAAATGCCAAAGATTGCCAGAAAAACCTCCAGAAGCGAGGAAGAGGCAGGAAGTGTTCCCCTGCAGGTCTCAGAGGGAGCACGGCTCTGCTGACACCTGGATTTCAGACTTCTATCCTCTAAACTATGGACAAAAAAAATTCTGTTGTGTTTTTTTAAGCACTCACTTTGTACTTACAAAGTACTTGTACTTTGCCACAGCAGCCATAGGAGACTAATACAAGGGCCTATTATGTGTCAAATCTTATTCCAGCAGCATTGGATTAAGGTCAAATAAGATGTGGTCTCATTCCCAGGAAAATGCTGGGTAGGGTTTTTCTTCCAATGTTTGATTCAGAGGTCTGCAGCGTTAGAAGGGCTTTTAAAACCTCAATATACATACTCTAAGATTAATGAAAGAACTGAGCTGAAAAAAGTGGATCTTTGATAGACTGATATACGTGAGATGCCCCCTATTTTCTTCCTTTAGGAGTCTTGAGATGATAGCTTTGGAGATTGAAAAAATAGCTTGTGTTAATAATAAAAAGGAAGCAGCAATCACTAGAAGTCAGCATGAGTTCACCAGGAACTGGACCTGTCAAGGTCAGCTCATCAACTTTGACAGAGAAGTCAGACTGGCAGAAGATAAAGGTAGTAAAGTGTGGTGAGATTTTATTGAGAAACCTGGTAAAATTTTCTTATGATATCCTAGTGAACAGGATGGAGTGGTTGAGCTGGAAATTAGGGATCAGTTTTACCTCGACTGATGATTAATTAATGGAGCTATGTCAATCTAGGTTAAGGTTTCCAGTGGAATGTCACAGAGTGTTTATAAAAGTGCTGCCTTGTTCAACATTTTTATCGGTGACTTGGAAAAGTCAGGTGTTATCAAATGTGTGTCTGATAGACCAGATGACTCTGCCTGTATTTGGATATGTGAACTCGGTTCTGGATGCCCTATTTAGGAAAGGCAGAGGGAAGCAAGATATTTTGAAGAGAGTGACCAAGTTGGTGACCTGAAGGAAAGTGGCAACTATGTAACACAAGAAACTGGCGAGGTATTTGGAGATATTCAACCTAAACAATAGAAATCCAAAAAAGACATGACAGCCAAAAGATAATGTGCTTCACTTGGATTAAAGGGTGGTGACAAATGGTTCAAATGACAGGAAGGCAATCTCAGTTTGGCATAGGAAGAACTTTTAGGATGTGAATTTTTCTAAGAAAAAATTCTAGCAATGAAATTTGAAGGCAAATCTCTATGGATTGATTTATAAATTTAGAATATAAGCCCAATGGTTAAGTGGATTCAGAATGCCTAAGACTGAATCCCTGCTCCTCTTCTACAACCTATGTTGGCAACCTCTCTGAGCTTCAGGTTCTTCATCAGTATAATGGCACCAATGATGAGACTTCATGTGAAATTGGTATAAATATTAAATAAGGTAATATGAAACAGAAGAGCATCTGACACATGATTAAAAACACAATGTTGGCTATGTTGATTTCTATACTTTGATTATGATATGATTCCAACAGTTATTTTTTTGTCTTCCATATTTCAAAAATGGTAACATCCCTGAGTTCTGAATCAAGTAATCTTTTAAAGTAAAAATCAAAAAAAGGAAGTTATATATTCTTTATGACAGCGTACCCTTAAAGTTTATGAAATGTGTCTTGTAGATTTACCATTTACCCTCATATGTGAAATCTTAGGATGTTAGGGCTGGAAGGGATGTGACAGACAGTCTTGCCAAGCCTGGCCCTTCTTCTATAAGGAGGTCTTCAGAGGTCTGGAGGAGGAAAGTGCCTTGCCCTGAGTTCCCTGAGCCAGAACAATGGTATGTCTTATGTAGTTGTGAAACTTGTCAGTTGTCTAAGGAAACATTAATGTCATCTGGCTGGTTTTTTGAAAAGGGTGTGAAGTAAGGACGTGAATAATTGTGACTTAATTAGAGACCTAGACTCAGAGGAATTGTGGTTACTCCACGTATGAAGAATTTGCAAGACTGTTGACTCTACCATTCTTTGTTTTAGTGGGTGGAGCCAGTTGCCTTCATTAGAATCAATATTGTTTATTCAACCCAAGTATAAATGGAAAGAAAAGATGTGCCCTCTGTCATTGAGGGTTGACTAACTGAAGAGTTCAAGTGCAGCAAAGAGAAGTGTCAGAGCATGAGTGCCAAGCCCAAAACCATAGGGATTATCGGAGCTCCTTTCTCAAAGGGACAGGTAAGTAAAAAGTCTTTCTTTGAATACCTGGAATTTTGTTGAAAATTTGGGACTTCAAAATTTGTGAGAGGTTATTGTCTGGTTAGTTAAGTTTTCTGATACAATCTGGCCTGGAAATGCATATTTTAGAGTCTCTCGCCATTTTCCCACATTATATAATTATAGTCACAAACCCACTTACTCTGTGGCTCCTGATCTCAGCCAAAGTCAAATTCATTTGAACCTACAGAATGTTTCCCCCTAGGTTTTAGGAGAAAATGCTTTTCTTTGAATTGAAATGGACTATTTCTGCATTGTAGCTAGGTGTTTAGGTTTAGTTGCTCTTGTTGCTTTTGATGTTACTGTGTGTATGTAGAGGAAGAGAGGATTTTAAGAAAATACAATTGTTTAGATATGTAATTAATACCTAGAAAAATTTAATAGATTGATGGTAACCTCCAGACTTCTTATAATTTGTATAACCTAAATATTATTGTTTCATGCAACTTTGTGAATAATTCATGTTATGTTAGGGTTTTAATGATTCTATGAAACTGCTCATTCATGGGCTAGGTAGAATCCTTTATGGACCTCTCTTGGAAGGGGAAAAAAGAACAGAAAAAGAAAGAAAATCCTACTGCAGGTTGGCAAGTCTAAAAGGATTTGAATGGATTTATGAAACTCCCAGACTTCCTCAGAGCCACCAGCTGTGAATCCACACATGCCAGCAACATTTGAATACCCTTTTTTTTTCTGCCTGGGCACACCTATTCTGGTAAAGAGAATGAGATGACAGAACACCATAGACTTCAACATGTATCTGTCCTTAAGAGGATAAAAAACAAAGAACAAAATCAAACAGGACAACGTGTGTGTTGAAACTCCGAAGGTTGATTTTCTCCAGGTTTCTCAGAATCTGGGCAGCATTTTGCTTCCTCTTGATCTGGACCCCTTGTTGTGTGCTCTGACTTTTTACTGCAAAACAAATTGAGAGAGGCCAGAGGTTAGAGACCCATGCTGCATTTGGACTGTCAGTAAATACTACTTTTCTTCCCCTGGAAATCCTCCAAAAGTCTTTCACAAACACATGGGTATTTTGCTGACACAGAAGTGTTCCTTTTAAAATCCACAATGTGCTCACCTATTCTGGAACAAGTTATAAAAAATATATAATTTTAAAAACTGACAAAAGGGAAGCAAGTCTCCTGTCTCCACCACCCTTCTCACATTAAAGCAGGGCCGTGATGATGGAGTTCATTGTCTCATGATTGTAAGGACTAAGAGAGAGAGATTTTTTTACACTAAGTCATAGAACAAAAAGGACAAAATGGCAAACATACAAGCATTTGTCCTCACCCAAAGGAGATACAGGTTTGACAAGCAGGCAAAAGGAAAGGATTAGAGGGCAGATGACTAAAATGTTGAGTCTGAGAAAGGGCTTCATTCCCTGTCACACCCCCTTGCAGGGCAGCGAGCAAACAATGAGGTAGGTATTACATTTACCTTACAATTGGGTTGAAAAAAGGCTCAGAGAGATTTGGTAATGTGCTCAAAGTCACACAGCCTTGATTGCATGATCCCAGACAGGATAGTCTGATTCCAATGCCTGTGCCCTTGATTTGCACTGATGTCCCTTCAGGTGATTCAACTCTGAAGGGGACTTTATACTTGTGGCCAGTTAGGGATTGGGCCCAGCTTAGAAAGTCAGTGGAGCTGACAAAGTAATTTCCAAAGTGGGCAGATACAGCAAGCAAAAGGAAAGACCAATCATGAGAAGCCATTTGAATAAAACAAATAAAAAAGAATGCTAGAAAATTTAGTAACTGTGTTATAGCAAATACAATGTCAACTAAGGGGTCTATGACATTTATTCTAAAGTCTGAAAGGGAGAAAGAGAAAAAAGTCAAGGAGTTTGACCAAGCTGAGGATTACAGAGCATCTACTACATGTCAGCTCTACACTACAAAATATAGTGCCCAAATGTAAACAGAGCTGGACTGAAATCTAACAACGGGGAAAATACAGACACAGACACAAAACTAAAGGCAAACCATGAACCAAGCAGTACCCTACTGGGGTTGAAAGAAGGAGAAATTATGTCTGCTTGATTGGGGAGAGGGAGGTGTATCAAGCAAAAAGGGAGTAAAGGAGCAAAATGTGTCAGACAGAGGATGGGGTGGGTCCCTTGCTGCCAGGGACAGGAATTTGACACCAAGGATTTGCCTGGCACCCAGGGCAAGTCTTCTGGTCTTTTGAATGAGGAAGAAATATTTGCTTACTTTGATGCCGCAGTCCCAATCCTAAAGATTGGATTCTCTTAGCACACTGTCTCAGCACAACGTGTCTGTTAGCACACTGTCTCATCTGACAACATGCAATAATTTTCTGCATCCGAAAGCCCTGTTGGAAATTAGAATCAGAAAGGTAAAGAAAAGAACTGTGTCTTTAGACCTCTAGTTGGTCAGGGGGCTGAGGAAGACTTGTCCCTTTGAGGAAGAGTGTTAGCTTCCCTAGTATCAAAGCAGCAAGGGTAGAACTTCCCGTCTACTGTTTGAGCAGGCCACACTTGAAATCACTGGGTTGGTCTTTGTTTGTGGTTTTCATCTCCCAGGTGATAATTTTGCCTGTTGCCTGCTTTCTCCTCAAGAGCTCTGGCTCGCTGCTGTGAGGACAAGCACGTAGGTCTCTTTCATGCCACAGTCTTTTGATACTTTTGCCCAAATTGTTCCCTTGGTTTGCAGAGTTTTTCCATCACTCTGTATTGTTTTCTTGAGTACCTACTCATGTTGCAAGACTCAGCATAAACATTTATTTCTTGTAGCCTTTACTGACATGCTCTATCCCCGATAGTCTTAAAGGCATCCTGTTTTTGTTACTATGACATTTTATATCTTGATTGAAGCAGCTGTGTATTATAATTAGGGTTAAACGCTCATATCTCCTATCAGCTTATGAGGGACTCAAAAGACAAAAGCCTTTTCATTATTGGATCTCATCTATCAGACTGCTTTTGCACAAACTGTGTGTTCACTCTGTTGATAACATGGTTTGATGGGAAGAGGGGATGCAGGTTTTGGAATCCAAAGACCTGAATATGAACATAGGCTCTGCCACTTATTAGCTGTGTGCCTGTCTGAAACTCATACAACCTTTGTGATTCTAAATCTTTCTATTTGGCATAAGAGTCGTTCAGTCTACCTTGCTGTGAAGATTAAATGAGATAATGTAAATTCCTGGCTCTGTAGGAGCTCAAAAAATGATAGCTACAGTTCAACTGATTAAATAATGAAAAGGGTTCTTACTGTGAGCATCTGTTGGTGATGATAATGTCTGAAGTACTTTATTTTTTAATTGTTCAGCCACGAGGAGGGGTGGAAGAAGGCCCTGCAGTATTGAGAAAGGCTGGTCTGCTTGAGAAACTTAAAGAACAAGGTAATTTTAAAGTTAAAAGATGGTCAGCCTGATTTCCTCCCCACCCTGAAGGAAGGAGCAGGCCCCTGTGAATGTGGAGTGTGTCTGGAATATTTATGCAGAATTGCGGTACTGGCTATAACCTTAGAAGCACATCCTACAAAAGCAGCATGGTGTGGGAGAATGCTCAGGAAGCATCGCTGGATGTACATCATTTCTCAGATATTTTCTTTCCAGCCAAACTGTGGTATAAGGGAATTTGCATGTGCAAGAACTGGGGTTGGGGTGGATGGTAGGGGAGCGGGTGGAAGAGCAAATGGAAGGCAAGGGGCAGCAGGAAGTATGCTACCAGCAACAGGAGCCCTATTTGTGAAATGAAATAAAATAAAACAGTAATAATGATGATAACAGCACCTAGTGTTTGCACAGTGTGTATATATACATACATATACATAAGCATGCAAATGCAATATTATGTCTATTTTTAAAGTATGGGCTCAATTCTCTGCTACCTTTATAAACAAGATGCCGATAAAGTATTGGTTAGGATGTGGAGCAACTAGAACTCTCATATATTTCTGATAGGAATCCAAATGATACCGCCACCTTGAAAACAGGTGGGCAGTTTCTTAAGTAAACATATATTTACGTTTTGACCCAGCAGTTGTAGGTGGAGAGAAGTATAATTACAAACATTCAAGTACAAGTCTTTGTGTGGATATGTTTCCATTTCTCTTGGGTAAGAGATTTGTACTTGAAAGTTTGAGGGCCGCAATATTTATAATAACCAAAAGATGGAAACAGCAAAATGCTTGTCAACTGGTAAATGGTTAAACAAAAAGTGTCACGTCCGTGCAACGAGATAGTACTCAACAACGAAAAGGAATGGGCTGGGCGCCGTGGCTCACGCCTGTAATCCCAGCACTATGGGAGGTCGAGGTGGGTGGATCATGAGGTCAGGAATTCAAGACCAGCCTGGCCAAGATGGTGAAACCCCGTCTCTACTGAAAATACAAAAATTAGCCGGGCGTGGTAGTGGGTGCTTGTAGTCCCAGCTACTCAGGAGGCTGAGGCAGAGAATTGCTTGAACCCAGGAGGCAGAGGTTGCAGTGAGCCGAGATTACATCACTGCACTTCAGCCTGGGCGACAGAGTGAGACTCTGTCTCTAAATAAATAAATAAAAATAAATAAATAGAAAGGAATGGACTGCAGACACAGGCAAGAACATGGTGGGTCTCAAAAACAGCATGCTAAGACGTGAAAGACTACACACTGCGTGATTCTATTGATATGAAATTCTAGAAAGACAAAGGCATACCAAAAGAAAGCAGTTCCACAGTTCCTGGGGTTGGGGGCAGGAATTACCTCTAAAGGGGCAGGATGGAATCTGGGGGAGAATGGAAGTGTTTTAAATCTTGATTGTGGTGGTGGTTGCAAGACTAGATTTGTTCAAACTCATTGATCTGCACACTTAAAATGAGTGGGTTTCAATGAAGGAGAATTATACCTTGTAAATCTTAAAAAAAAGAAAAAAAAAAGACAAAAATACAGACATGCAGTAGAGAACAGAATGCTTGGATAAATGGACTTGTCCCTTAACTAACAAGCATAATTTGCTCACGTGCTATATCAGGTGAAAGTTCTCAGAGGCATTACTGAATCAGATTCTCACCGACATGTAACAAATGCTATATATGATGGCCAGTTGGTTCAGAACAGTGAACTGATCCCATATCACAGTTATACACGAAACTCTCTCAAGGCCTTTTAGGATGCACACCAAGTCCTTAGGAATTTGGGGTTACCTGTAATTTTTCCTTACCAAAAAGAATAACAAAAATCTTTATTTCCTGAGCTCCCAAAGTGCTAGGCTCAGTGCTAAGCACATATTCACATATTCTTATTGAATTCTGATGATACCACTATGAGGCAGGTTCAATGGATATTGTGTGTGTGTGTGTGTGTGTGTGTGTGTGTGTCCCAGATGAAAATACATCAGTGCTTTCTAAATTTTCTGAGAATATATATATCTATTAATATATTTAATTGTTATCAAAATGAAGCATGCTTACTACGGAAAGGTAAAAAGCACATAAGCAGAGAGGGGAGGCAGACAGAGAAAAAGACAGTGATATTCCCTATTAAGCCCAAACCAGAAACCATCACTGTTATATTTTAGTATCTAGTCTAACTGAATAGATTCAAGCCTAGTATACAGCACGCACCAGTGTGTGGTACTGGTAACATGATGTCAAACAGAAGCGGATCGGGGTTCCACCTTCCCTGTGTTTATAGACCTTTCAGGTTTTTCCTTTGCTTCTACTTGTGAATATATGCCTATTTCATACAATTGTGATCATCCTACACAGACTGATTTGTATCCTACTTTTTTATTTACTAACTCAAAACTTTTAATTTTAGAGTGTGATGTGAAGGATTATGGGGACCTGCACTTTGCTGACATCCCTAATGACAGTCCCTTTCAAATCGTGAAGAATCCAAGGTCTGTGGGAAAAGCGAACGAGCAGCTGGCTGGCAAGGTGGAAGAAGTCAAGAAGAACGGAAGAGTCAGCTTGGTGCTGGGCGGAGACCACAGGTCTTGTTGAATAATTGTGTCTATGGGAGTCTGGTACAAAGGCGGTGTAACCAAGGCCAGAAGAAAAGAGAAAATACACAGAAAAGCATTGACCTACATTTTATAGCAAACTTTCTGCCTTTAAAAAAATTTGATAGGTTACTGCTTTATTACAGAAACAGACTTAGCTCTATTTGAAGTCTTACAATAGCTGTATTTTGACCTAGTACAGCAGAAAACATATGAAATATGAGTGGATTTGATCTAAATATTCATCACAAGCTTACATTTCTAAATAAGTAAGTGAGGCAATTCATAGCTTATTGTTCTTAATTGCCAATAATATGTACAACTCATATAGGTCAACAATTTCAAAGTATGTGTTTTTTATTATAAAAGTAATGATTATAACATTTTTGAAAGAACCAGACACATACACAAGAAAAAAAAAATGTAACTGTAATTCTCTAATGACCATTTCAACCAGAATTGAAAATCCGGCACATTTCTTTCGTGGTATCTTGTTTTCCTTGTA